AACTCTTGACCCTCCCATGATCCAACATGTTGCGGTTCAAAACAAAAGAAATCGTACAAGAACATGTACGACAATGAGATCGCAGTTATTCAACGTGACATGTTTAACGCTATCGGCTTTCTACCGGCCCATTTTGCAACCTAAAGTCTGCAGATTTCAAATTAATATTGGAACGAACTCTTAAGTCTCCTGCAAATACACAATTGTCTACATTGCGTCGGAAGTTTGCTACTCAACCACTGACTAATGCTAAGAAATTGCTTTTTTTTCTGTTCCATTTCAAACGTCTCCACAAGTGACAAAAACACTTCCGGGGTCAGTTACAATTTTAGAGCAGGAAGTTCAAAACCCGCTAGCGAAAGTGGCAATATGCGACGTTCCCTTTACAAAAAACGTTTTTACAGTCGGTCATTTTTAATCCCCCAAAAGGACGGAAGTATGCGTTATAGTTATAGATCTGAGCTCCCTAAATTGCTTGATCGAAACCCCTCACTTTCAGACGGAGCACTTGACTACTAGTACACTCCTGAAGCAAGCTCATTTCATGACGAAGTTAGATCTAAAGGACGACGCGTACCTTTTGATGGCTATACACCCTCAGAGTAAAAAATTCCTTCCATTTTTATGGCAAAACAAAGCATACCAGTTCCATTCTTTTCCATTCGATCTAAACATAGCACTATCAGTGTTAAGGAAACGGGGCATCCGCCTAGTCCCGTACTTGGACGATATGCTCATCATCGGATCGACTCCACAGGCTAGGAGACCCGTCAAGCTCCTGGAATCTCTGGGTTTTATAATAAACTAAGAGAAGTCGGTACTAACCCCAAATCGGATAATCGCATTCACTGGGTTTACGATCAATTCGATAACATATCAACAATGCTCTTCACTCTGCCTCCGAAAAGGTACAGAAACTACTAATACTATGTCGTCAGATTGGCTCAGGCTTCGAATCTTAGTCAATTATTGGGACTGCTCGAGACACAAAGCGGTTTAGAAAGCACCTCTTCATTTTCGTTGCTTACAAGCCCTCCTAATCAAAGGTCTGAACCAATCGAATCACAATTGCAACTACGAAACCCTAGATCCCTTATGCTTTCAATCCAAACAGGAAATCAACTGGTAGCTCCAGAATTCGAACTTAGAGAAAGTCAATGGAAGCCCAATTATTCCCCCTACTCCAGACCTTACAATCTTCACGGATGCCTCCTCGAAGGGCTGGGGCTACCTGCGGCAACATTGAGACAAACGGAAGATTGTCAGCCACGGAGAAATAACTGTTACATATCAGCCACAGAGAAATAACTGTTACATATCAGCCACAGAGAAATAACTGTTACATATAAAGGTTCTCGAACTGAAAGGTGCTATGCTGGGAATACAGTCTCTTATAAAGAATCAACATTCGAAGATAATATCACTGAACATGGACAACTCAACCGAAGTGGCTTACGTCAATCACAAGGGAGGCACTCACTCCCCAGAACTCCTCCATGTAACGCCCCGACTTTGGAACTGATGCATTAATTCGGAACGACCTGTACATAATACCGGTAGTTATCCGCTCCTTTCTGAAGGGCTGGTCCACAGATCTGTTCGCCTCGGGACTCACCCATCAATTGACGATTTTCATCAGCTGGCCAAACCCCCACTCTCTTCATTCGGATGCATTCAGCGTGAATTGGAAACATCTAGCGGGTTACGCATTCCCTCCATTCACCATTCAATTTAATTGCGCGAGTGCTCAACAAGGTCGTTTCGGACAAGGCAGAAATTGTCCTAGTGTCCCCAATATGGCACGCTCAGCCTCGGTGGCCCCTACTACTCAGTCTGCTGGTGCAGCAACCAGTTCGTCTACCAACCTCAACGAAACTTCTGATAAACCCGACAGATTCACCCGATGATCCCTTGCCTTCATCTGGGCGCATTTCATAACTCCGCCAACGATATCAAACAGAAGGGATTTCGAGAAACGTTGCCGAATTACTCATCTCAGCAACTCGACGTTCCACACAAAAAACATACGAATCCAGCTCGAAACCCTGGTGAGTATTTCAGCATCACGGGATGAGTTGCCCCTGCTGCCCTCTGTGCTGGTTAGATTTGTACTATGACTTTAAAATCTTATTTGCTATTATATTTATTGTATTAAAGGGGCCCTACAGTCATTTTTTAGTCGAAAGGTATTGTTTACATATTCTTGTTATTGTCGCTAATTGACATGCGCACCACGGCATGCATGCGTTTTCCGGTGTACGGAAGAACTCATATTCATGGATACTGCATGTAAAATACAGCCATACGAACCTCCGTGGAAACGGCCTACTTAAGGTGACTCTTCGACTAAAAAATGACTGTAGGGCCCCTTTAAGTGATGAAAATGTGAAACAAGTTTTTTTCGCAGATTTTTGGGGTGTAAAGCCCCCAGCACTCGAAAATCACAAAAAGTCGCACAAGCCACAAATGACACAAATGTCTGGGGTAGACAGGAGCATTTTTCCATCCAAATTCGTCGATTCGGTGCCAGAAATGGCATTTCCGAGCCTCAATTTTTTCCCCGGGGGAGCATGCTCCAGAACTGAGTAGCCTCCCCAAAATAAAACTTGTTCCTATGCCACTGGTTGTGGAGTACAGGAAAGTCGGTCCTAGATCATCCGAACCCTCCCCCCCCCCCCTCAGCCATTTGTTGAATGTGCGCTCCTGTATTTACTGATATTTTCTACATATACAGTATAATGCAATATCAAAAATAACTTAAAGATTTTTAGAGATCATAAAATACAAAATGAATGACAATGTTTAATAGACGAATGGATATTCCAAAGTCTAAAGTTACATGCAATAACATAAATCTTACTTTGATTTATACATAATTCGAATCTCTAGTTAATTAATACGATTTTGGCCTCACCAAATCCTTTTATAGGAAAGCAGGTTTTTTCATGAACTGCGTGCATGCACGAGTAGTCTGCGAATCCAGACGTCATTTCCCACGCTCATTCTTTGCTCGGAAAGTTGCTTTCCGAAATAGGAAATGACATCTGGGAAGTGACACCTGGGTTCGCAGACTAATGCATGAGATGATCATATGACATGTAAATCTGTACTGCGTACTGCATTTGCATGGGTCAACTTGATCACGTAAGTATAAAAACATTTTTTTGCAATTGATAATGCATGAGCAGCTGATCCGGATAGTTCGGGTCTGTAAGTAATCATGTTTACAAACCGTCTTGGCGACATGGTTCATTTTAGACGACAGGATCGAAGCTGAAAATTAGGGCGAATTCTGTATCTGATTTACAGATTTTGATTGAACATTCGTTTCTCTTGAATAATTTTCATGACTAACGTGTCATTATAAAAATGCTCAACTTATATAGAGTTGGGTACAAGCCAGCTTGTACATTTGAATTTGTGGGTAAATACGTATAATGAACACGTTTTCTGATTGGGTTTATGAAACAAAAGTGATCAGTGTTTATTTATATGGTTTTGTCTTTTAATGTTTTTTTTTCTTTTATTGTTATTATCAACCAATCACAAAGCCTGTTCATATATAGGTCGGAGAAACGTCTGCGCGGGAACTAAAAAATGGCAGCATTCTGCAAGATAAGTGAAACAAACAAGAAAATACAGAAGGACGGGTACACTACATGTAGATCTTAATCTATAAGTCTTCTAACATTTCAAGTATAAAAATTAAGAAATAGAAATTAAAAAAAAATCCCTTGCTTGAACGGGGATACATCGAGAACTTCGAGCAAAATGATCAATATTCGACGTTCGGACGTAAAGTAGCTATATATACTAAAAGCACATCTGCACATTTTCAGCCGTATATAAAGGGTCTTGATGCCTCACAAGGCACACACTCCTTTTGACCTCCATTGTGAGTCTTCTGACAACCTTCGGAACACTTTGACATCAAGTTCAGTCAAAATTAACGCATGCGCAGACGTTTTTCCGGGGGTGTTAGTCATACATTAAACTCATGCTTATATATGATACCGAAACTATAAATTTATAAATCATTTCAAATTACAAATTATCTAGTAAAATTAGATGGAATGGTGACGCTATAAATTCTCGCATTCACCTCCTCAATTTTACAATATTATTCTTATCTTTGTTAGCCATAAAATACATTTTTCCCCACCAAGAAATTTATTTTAACAAGTGTGGGTATGCCAGGGCAGATGATCTGTGAGAAACAGGAACTTGGAATTGCTGGAAGTCAAAGAAAGAAGATTTTGTTACGTTTCGTGGCGGAATACAGACAAAATTCTAAATTTAAAGGGGAAGTCAAGTCCGTAATGTAAACAAGCGGTTTGTTTACATTTTGAACTGCTGTATTTTTTAAACTATGATGTACTGTCCGAATATCTAACACCATTTTGGTTCGCTATGCATGCTTCTAAATGAATATGAAAAAGAGTTTATGTTCAGAAAAATTCGAAACATTCGAAATTTGGGCAATGTTCACATTAGAGGTCCTCACATTGTTATGAGCAGAACCGATGCGCAGAACAGACTTGACTTTCCCTTTAACAGACAACGAAAATTTGATCAGTCAATTAGTGAACCAAACGTCGCAAATACTGACGTTAACCAATAGTGAACAACTTACATTTTTGCCAACACGAGATAAATAACGAAATCTGAGCTGTTGAGCTGATCGAGGCTGTATTGATGTTTGGCCATCATATGAATATGGAACGTTGTTTCCATCATCTTCTGTGGAGAATGTTCTGAAAGAAACATACAATAACTCAACCTCGTTCCATGTCATGTCTGCCGTTATGAAAAAGAGACAATGACAAACTCACAGTGTTGATTTCGGAGCTTGCATCTCATTTCTTTGCTTTGTTGACATATTAAGTTTACCACCTAAACAGAATGCGATATAAGTCGAGTAAAATTGTTGTTTTAAGTTGGCCTTTGTATTAAACACCCTGTTTTCTCGCCAGTTTTTGTATGGTTGTATAGTTATACTATAGCTGATTAAACAACTATACAGGATGTATAAAAAATTGCTTCATGCAAGGCTGTTTTTTAAAACCACATTAACAATAGCTTTTGCGCAAAAATGTAGGGTTTAAATTTGAATTATAGGGTGCAAATTTGGAAGGTGTTTTATGAACTAACACAATATCAGACAATTTGATGTACATTAATTAAGTTCAACGGGCGATCTCTAAAACTTTGATTTTTTGCTATAGTAGCCTGTCACGCATATATATCAATCACACAATACTGATTTTATGCACGATTGATTTCTTACATACTCTTTACAAAAAGTTAAAAAAAATATGCGTGGCTGCATGGCGAAAAAAGTAAAAAAAGTTGCTCGTTGGACGTAATGTACATCGAATTGTCTGGTACTTCGACAGTTCATTAAAACACCTCACAAATTTATACCCTATGAATTCAAATTGCGTTTCGAACCTTCCATTTTTGTGCGGAAGCCTTTTTGGTTTTAAACACTTTTAAAAAACAATCCTGCTGCACTCGAACATTTACTTCTTAGAATAATTTGGTGATATAGGGATACCAGAACACCCCCAAACCATACTCATACTAACAAAAAAGTTGTCACAAATTTTGCGGAATTTTCATTTTAGTGAACATTTTATAGAACTGTACTTTTTAAAGGCCAGTTTATTAATAATTTTACACTATCAAATTTTCTGTGATCACATGCATGCATGCAGTAGGGATTTTGCATAGGTAAATTTTAAGTTTTGAAGGATTTGTAAGAAATGTTTGAGGGAATTGATGAGTGTTCGACACTTAGTTTCCTCAAACCTATACAAGTCCTTCAAAACGTAGAATTTACCTAATGCAAAACTGTGATCACAGAAACTTTTATAGTGTGGTTATAACCAGCCTTTATCTAATAGTATTAATACGGACTTCGTGACTTTTTATCAGAGAACACGCAGCTTTTCGGAACGGTGATTTTTATTAGCTCCAATTAACAACTACATATAAATTATGTTTTACCTTTAGCAGCATCAGCCAAATAGAGCAATATACTACACATTAAAGCCACTAGAGAAAAAAAAATAAGAAGAGATGATGGAAACATACACACAGGGTTCGTATAGGTAAAAAAAGACGAGTAACATTTAAGGACTTGCATGCAAGGCCATGTAACAGGAAAGGACTAAACGGCTGAAAAGAAAGCGTTAATCTGTTAAAATTGCTACTTAATGAGACATGAACAAAATCAATTCAAACAAAATGTCCACTTTTTAATGTCAAACAAATTTCAGAAAATATCCAAAAACTAAACCAAGAAGTATTCAAGGACTCTCAAGCACTACGAACCCTGACACACAACCTTTACTTTAAATTCTCGCACTCATTTCACGAGCAAAAAAATATCAATGATAATAGTAATAGTTTTCTTGAAATTATATGTCATTAAAATGGCAAGACCAAATTTCGTTTTTCCAAGGTAACTGTACCATTTATCATTACGGTGATTATAAGTGTGATCAAATCATGGTATTTAGTATATTCTATATATTTTGCTCTTTACTCTCCCCAGGACTTTTTTGGTTAGTGGGACAGAAATGAGAAATCGGGCAAATTTTGTCCACGTGACCGGTCCAGGTCGGTAATTTTGATTTGAGTCCGTTTATCATTTCAAGCGTACCGTACCGAAACATAAAAAAAAAACACATTTAAAATTTCAAAATTTCGTGAATGTTGATTGGTTAATACTTCCGTAGTACGCCAAAAAGTTGACTTGCGACGAACTCTTCATTTTGATACGCGAATACACCCGGAAGTATACGTGGATTTATCAACCTTCTTTCAATCTACGCATGCTCACCAGTACGTTTCCGTACGATACGGTTGAAGTGGAAAACGGCCATTACGCTTGGGTATCGACATATCTTTAAAGTTAAATTAGTACAGACAATTTCGTTCAGTACAGTACAGATTGATTTGCAGCATCCAAAAGACTTTATATAATTCAAGCGCTTTCATTGGTCGAGATCTATTAGAAGAGGACATACGCACGGAATTACGTCACAATTAAGGTAGCCAATAGCATTCCCTTATTTGTATAGATCATGTACGCGTGGTATTTGTAAAATGTCGACTTTTTCAAATTTCCAAATGTTTGGGTGGATAAAAAGTAAGCTATTTACCTGTTTAATTCGGGGGTGTTCTTTTTATTATATAAAACAAATAGATACGATTTTGCCATTGTCTGTTCAGTTTTATAGAGCAATGACGTTGCCGTTGTCTGTTCAGTTTTATAGAGCCATGATCTATTAGATTTTGCCGTTGTCTGTTCAGTTTTATCTATTTGTTAAATTCACAACGGCGACCATGACTTAATTATGGTAGCTACGACAAAATGGAAACCACATATTACAAGATAGCTACAAAATTCCGAAAGTATTTATGGAAAGATATAGTGATATTATATTAATTTATACTTACAACACAGCCAGGCACAGAAAAACATTTCTAGAAATAGATATCCTTTGGCATCAACAATAGCACCAGCAGCCATGTTGATGAGAGCAAGACCAAGATTTTGGATTGACTGCATGCTATATAAGGAGAAGTCACGACATAAAGTTTACAGGTGCAGGCCATTTTAGGGCACCCTGCTTGTTGGCAGCTGTTCCCCCTGAAATCCACAGACAGTAATGACCTAAGGTCCTTGTAATGCAAAACTGTTGTTTAGAAAAAACAACAATTTGACTTAGCATTTAAATTCTCCTGCTTTGTCAGTATTTGTATGAAAGTTAAACACTATTCAGACCTAATCAACTATTAAAGGAATACCGAATGGTTTTCCGTGCAAGATTGCGTGATCCATGCACGCGGGATGTTGCGAGACTTTCGGAAAGCGTAAAAATACACGAGCCGTAGGCGAGTGTATTTTTACGCTTTCCGAAAGTCGAGCAACATCCCAAGTGCATGTGGATCATGCTATCCTGCACGGGAAAACCATTTGGTAATTGTTTTATAAAATTACTACAGTGAAACGACGCTTAACTTGATTAAAATTACTGATGAAATCTGCAGTTCTCACAAGATTCGCGAATTAACCAATCAGAGAATCGCTACTCCACGCTATTGAAAACAACAACATATGTGAACAGAATTTGAATGCAATTCGCGAAAATATACAGCGAAAATACAGGGACTTTTTCGATAAAATATACAAAATTTGAAATGGAAAACCGGCTAAACAGAGAGCCAAAGTAGTTTTGAAGATTCTCGACCTGAATATGTGAAGATTGCGAAGCGTTTGATCAACTTTTAAGCGAGAGATGTTGTATTTGCATGACATGGTCTGATGAATTTCAACGCTTACGCGTTGCTACTTGCTGAATAGCAATGTATCGATCAGAAATTTATTCATACAACTAGACCAACGTCTCAATAATTGGAAACTTACTTCAAAGTCGAAAGGTATCGTACAATGAAACTTTACAATGCGAGTATATTTGTAAAATTATGTGCAAGAATTTCTGTTCAGAATTTCCCGTGCAGGATTGTCTGATCCTGCACGGCTGTTGACCAATCAAATTGCGTGTTTCACTGTAGTTATTATATAATTGTTGTTACTGTTAATGATACTTACATTCCGTAAGCAGTGCCAAGTTGATGTTCTGGAACAACCAGAGCCACTAACGGCCACAATGCACATGCTACGATGGAGTACGATAGACCCATAACAACCTACACAAACACATTGGAAAAATATTTATCTACAATTTTACAATCTTGCAAAGGTGACTCAACTTAATCGGAAACAAGGCCTCAAAGTGACAGAAGATGGCGGGAGAGTTAATCACGACCCTTGGCATTCATCTGATCTGGCCGAGAACCCGGTTGTCTCAGCCTATTGTGCCATGTAAAAAACATATAAATAGTCGTAAAGGGAACCTAAATTTCAAGTACGACGACGTGGATTTTACTTTACATTTTACTTTTTTCCCCTTAAATTAAACAGGGCTGTTTAGGAAACGTGTACAGCTTCATCGCCCCGGGTTTACACCAGGGACGACGCTTCGCGCCTTTGGCTCGGGGATTAAAAACAAGCTTGGCGTCAATTAGCCGTCAAAGCACGACGGCAGACGTTGTTCCCTTGGTTTGAGGCCATTTTTGCCGATTATTTATTATTAGGTGACTTCGATATCTGAACAGAAATGTCCTATAGAGTCTGCTATGACCTATAATAGCATATGGTAACAAGATTATTAAATGACAAAGTTTCGTGGACATACCATAGGGACATATGGAGACCAAAAGGTAAATGCCATGTACACATGACAGCCAAGGGTCATGGCGACTCCAACAAGTACTGAAAAAA